TGTTCTGAGAATCTTTTACAGCCTAGTTTCGAAGAGGTGGACAAAAGATTCCACGGACTTTCAGAACAGTGAAGCTTCAGATCTTGATAATGCATATATCATCTATAGCTGACCAAAGGATGGTGCCTCTCTCTGAATGAAACTTTTAAAGGTGAAGGGTTTTGTCTTGCACTGGAAAAAAACCCTACAAAACCAAACCAATCTGAGTGATCTGAAATTATAATAAGGGAGTTACTTTATTTTTCCTATTTGTATGAATATGACCTGAACTGCAGGGGGGCAGTTTCAATTGTCTTCTTGTCACAGTGCTTCAACTCTTCATATTTTCTTCCTTGGCAGCAAAAATCTCTTTTTGTTTTTTCTCTCTGTGATACCCAAGAAGAGACTGTCTCCATCTCCCTTTTATCCTCTGATGGGATAGTCATGGACAGCAGTAAATTTTCCCCTTTACTTCCTCTTCTTAGGGCTGAACAGACTCCATTCTCCCAGCCCCTTTTGCACCCAGGTGCTCCAGCCCCCTGCCCAGCCTAGTGCCACTGTGGCATTTGCTCCAGTAGATATCACCTGCTTAGATGGGATCAAACTGGTATTTGCTGACATTTCCACAGAAAGGAAAGGATCAGGGACACCTTTATGTTATTGATGGAGTCCTGTCAGTGGGCTGTCTTGCAGCCCAGTGCAACTGCAACAGAAACAGAAGCTGGAGGAATGATTTTCTCTGCTCTTGCCTCAGTCCCCAGTATGACTCATGTACAAAGCCTTGCGGGGTGGAGAGTGCAGGTATCTTTGTCCTGGCCCTGAGTGTGTCAGTCTGTGGTAGCAGAGATGTGGCAGCACTACTTTTTAGCATCTTCGTTCACACACCATCTTAAGAGTACATTGCATCTCATGATAGTATGTGTCAGAGCAGTTGATGATTTGCTCTGACTTTCCTGTGCGTAGTACTGAGCAGACCAAGGAGTGTAACTACATGGAACTATAGCATTTTTTTCTTTTAGATGGGAATGTGGCAGCTGAGAAAATCAGCCTTTTTCCAGAGATATAATGAAGCCTTTGGTTCAAAAAAGTGCAATAGTCCTTAAGAACCAAGTGTGACTCTGTTACTGTGAATACAAGTGGTGAAAATTTACATATACCATTCAGTTTCCCTTTTTTATTTTTCTTTTTATTTTCTTTAAATAAAGAATAAAATAAACAGAGCCCTACTTATTGTTGTCTGCATACACTGGAATGTGGGAATGCAGCATCAATGCACTATTTATAAGTATAACTTCGAGGCAAGAGAAAATTAAAGATATTTATCAAAGTATTTTCATCTCTTTGGAGAAAATTGTTGTTGCCAAGTTACTAAGCTACCTGAAACAAGCTCTTTCATGGATTTAGACAAAATAGTAAAAGTATCACATTCCTTTGTTTTCTGTTTAGCTTGTCTTCTTGGGAAATAACTGTGCTTTTATGATTTTGTTAGATAATGGGGTTTTATCCTTCATTCCACTATTAGTGTCAAGTTACTATATAGAAAGAAATATAAAGAGGAATGTTATTATTCAGATCTTGTTTTCTTTTGAGTATCTAATAGCAAGTATCGAGTGTCTCAATGCTATACCTAAGCCACCTAGTAATGCAGAAGCAACAGCTGAATTTGTTTTGAATTAAGTGCTTTGTAAGCAAATAAAAGGTATCATGAGTGGCCTTAGTGCAGCACACACAGCTGTATAAAGCACATTGTATTTTCAGAGACTAGATGACACATATGGAGGTGTGAGGGGGCAGAAGCAGCTGTAGTGACCTTCCTTTGTGCTTCATATGAAACATATAAACATGATGCCTCAGAGATGTACAGTTGGATGCCAGTCTAGCTGTCAAAACAGAGGCAAGGTACCCTGGGTTCTGCAGCAGTGATTTTGTTTCCTCTTTCAACCCCCTCACTAGCACCACTTCTTTACCCAAGTAACTTCTAGGCATACACAGGTTTAATTTCTGTTTTATGTCAGAACAAAGGAGAAGGACAAGGTCCTGGTGTTGGAGTCATGCTAAGCTTTGCAGAGATGTGCAAACAAAAATCAAACAGACCTAGCCTGAAGACAAACATTTTTATTAAAGCTACTCCTCTGAAAGCACAAACTAAAGAGTTTTCTTCTGTGCCACACTTCTAAGTGTGCAACTGCACCAGTAATGTTCAGGAATGGGGGCAGTAACCAGCCTTTTGCCACCTGGATTGTGGAAATTGGATGTGTGTATGAAATATCCAGGATCATGGGAAAACTCAGGTAGCAAATATTCTAGAGGATGGACTGCAGACATGGAAATGGAAGCATATGGGCCCCAAACTCCCTGACAGTGCCTGCCCTGAGCTGAAAATACCAACTCCCTCAATTTACCTGCACTTAGACTTTACTAGGCCAGCACAGGTACAGCTTGCCATGCTGATTTATGGTATCTGATTCTGTGTCTCAACTAAATAAGCTTAATAAGATTAATTTTGTGGATAATCAGAGTTGTATCGTGTGCATCTGTAGCACATGGAAGACTGGAAGCTGGCTAGTAGGAATTGTTATATGGAAACACATAGTCTAAAATTAATGTGTAGATGTTTTGAAGGCTCCTTTTTTAGAGATGCTAATCATAAACCAAGAAGTTTTAAGAACTCGTATTAGCTAAGTCCCAGATTCCCATCCACTGGACATGCTATCTTCTTTCAGAAATGTCACTTGGAATAGTTTCTGAATCAGGGCCAGTAAACCTGTGTCTCCTGGAACATCTCTAGCATCTGAACGAGCATTTCAAATTGTATTACTAAGCTGGGATTAACTGGCTGTCTATGAACAGCTGTCAAGCCAATTTCACAAATGGTGAAGTGAATAATTCTGACAAGGATGCAAAAGCTGGCAGGGAAGTGGGATACAGCCAGTGCCAGTCTCTCTGCATAGTTCAGATGCATCAGCAGTTTTGTATGGTCATGAGCTGCTCACAAAGCATAGAGTTTACAGTAGCCAGAACAGACAATTTGAAGCTACAATTATGAGTAAAAAGACTGATTTTGATACCTTGTTTGGTTGGAAAGGGGAGGATATTGCATTTTTTAGTACAACAGTAAGCAAATGCACAATGTGGGAGGAGAAGATGGCTCAGAAAACACTAGTGTAGTCCGATGTTTGTATTATAACATAATAAATGCTCTGGTTTGTATGTATTCGAATGCTTATGTACTGATGGATAGAATGCAGATGAACCTAATAAAATTATGCTAATCGCAGGAATGACAACCTTACTGCAGGAAAGAAAAATTAGCGTTCATCCCATGTGGCAAAGGAGATGCATCTTAATTTTGTGGTATTATTTCCATGTAAAAAGGAATGATATTTAAGATTTTCTTTTGTTGTAATGAAGTGCTAGGCTTTTCTGTCAACTGGCACTTTGTAGACATCAAGGAATTAGGAACAAAAATAAAAGGTTTCTTCTGTGGGAAAAAGTTTCTGGGTTGGAGGGGTCTTCTCCTGGAAGTTCAGGTATTGATTAGTTGGTGTGTTTTTTCAAACTAAGAGAGGTAAAAAGTAGAAACAGGAAGGAACAGGCTTGGAAATTGTAGCTGTGGAGCATGGTGCTGTTATGCAGCTTCCATAAATATCTTAAAATAGAGAAAACTGAGTGAGAATGTGTCAGCATTTTGGTGCTAAATCAAGTTTTTAAAGAAAGGAAGAATTTTTAAAAAATTACATTGGAGACAGTAGATAGTAGAGCTCATATCTCAACAGGAGAACTCAACCACCTAATGCTGCAGTCAAATACATCTTTAATTTTTTCCTGAGTTCTCTTTTGTACACCTTAAAGATTATAATTATTCCTCCTCCCAAAATCCAATCTCTTTTAATAGATTTTAATTTTATTCCCCTGTTTGAATACTTCTGGGTTTTTTAATCCATGTGAAACAATTGAAAAAATCTATTAAACATTCTTATGTCATATTGTTTGAATTTAATTGCTTTCAATGCAGTAATATTTAAGATAAGTCAGGCCATATGTCTTTAAAGTGGCAGATGTAATTGAGGAGAGTGATGGAAATCAGCGTTAGCTGAAGTTATGACAATGGTGGTTTATGACAGCTGAACATTAAGCATTTTTTTATCTTCAGCTAACACTTCTTGTAATAATACCAAGATGAATACCAATGCTTAGGGTGACTAACGGGATGGCTAGTGAGCCAGGCTCCCTTGTCCTCTGGTCCTGTCTCTTGTCTCTGAGCTGCATCTGCCATGGGCAACTCTTTGCCATGCAGCTTTCTCTACAGAAAAGTGAGAATTCTGGGGTTTATTCCACTAGTCACCACAGGCCATCTTCTATTTAAAATTCAACACATGCTTAAGTGCTTCTGCTGAGGAAGGACAGCTCCCTGAAGCAGATGCAATCAGACCTCCAGCTGTTTCAGTAACTTCTTTCTGATGTAGTCTGGGATGCTAAAGGATTTCACCCAGAGCAGAGTGGCTGGAGTATCTTTCACGCTGTGATGAATGTGTTGAGTTTTAATACCAATTATTGTGCTTCATGGGCTCATTGGCTATATTAATATTGCATTCGCTGCTATTACTAAAACTTTTGATGGTAATAAATTGAGAGAGCATCACATTCAATTATGCATAGCTTGACTTTACACTAGTTTCTTTTATTTTATTATAGTTTTGCTTCAGGAATGTTTGGAAAAAGATACAGATTTAAATTCTTATATATTTTAAATGTGTACCTGTTCTATATTATTTTCTATTTTAGCTTAGCAGTTGTATTCACCACAGGTTTTGTGTGTTTGAGAAAACCAAACTGGGGCATAATTTCAGCTCACGAAAGCTGGATTCTATTCAGTACTGTCCTTGCTTTGACTAGATGATCCCATGAGGTCCTTTCCAGCCTGAATTATTCTATGGTTCAGTGATTTCAGTGCATATCAGTATAGATCCTTTAAGGTCATTAAGATCCCTCTATGCACCTTAACTCATATTTGCCTTTAGAGATCCCTGAAGACCCAGAAATTGCAGAAGAATATTATAATGATGAGTTTGAATCCTGTTCAGAAGACAGTGAAGAGGAGGAGGATGCAGAGGCATCGCAGACTGTCTCTAAGACAAATCACCAGGTATATATGACCTTTGAGAAAACCATGTACACTTGATGCTCATTTTCCATGAAAAATTAAGTTCCATCCAAGAATTTGTGCTACGGACATTACTGAATTATTTTTTTTCTGTTAGGAATGTGTGTGTATATCAATATCATGAATTAATTATAAATGTATACATGTGTAATTCTTGTGAGACATTGAAGAGAAAGATTCTTTCATTCCTTCAAGAATAAAGATAACTCTCTCATGAATGCCTTAAGGTAGATTGTTGTCAGTAAACTTCCCTGTGACTGTAAAACACTCAGAGTGGGGTCCTCTCATGTTAGCTCTGGGTTAAATTAATTAAAGCTCCAAGTTTAATTCAAGCATAAGATCTAAGGTCCAGCTCTAATTCCTGGGCACAGATAGGCACCTCTAGTTGCCATTTCTTCCTCCCTATATGAGACAAATTTTCTAGGACAGTGTGATAAACTATGAGCCTAAAGAGCTACAAGACTTGACCAGCAAATCTGTAGACTTTCCCAACAGTCACAGAAAGTGTCAGTGAAGAGAAAACTTATTGTTGAAAGGTTTAAAGTAGCCTTATCAGTTGAGGCTGCCACAAGAAACTCAGGGATTGCAGTGTGAAGGTTGAAGATTATTGGAAAAGGCACCTAATTTAGATCTGATCAGAATGAGCTGAGATGAATCTTGTCTCCAGTGATCAAGTCTCAGTGAAATCAATAAACTTAAATGTCCAAGGCAGTTCTGAAAAATGGATCTTCTTAAGGCGTTCAGGAACTATTCATTTCTCCCATGGGCCACCAGCTTAAAGCATTGCCTGCAGTGCCTCTGAATGGTGTTGTCTGGTTCTGCTTAGGAACCTACATTAATCTGTGTTCATGTGCAAATTTTCCAGAACAGAGTGTGATGTCTTCTGCATTTCAGGGAACTATCCAAGTATACTAATACTCCTAAATTATAAATAACTTGTACTGATTTTTTAAATTTTGATCCAGTAGCTTCGTTAAGATGTAGCTATTAAGGCAAAAGTAAAGTGTTTGTGTGAGAAACCAGAACTCTTCTACCAGAGTAGCAGTGAATCCTGAACTTGTTTCCCCAGTTAAACTTGAAGTTTGCTCAGAAACAGCTTCATTAAATCTAGAAATGGCCTCCTAGCTTTCAAATTAAACACATAGAATGCCTTAAAATTCAGGAGTAGTTTGTACAGGTCTAAAGAAATTGTTAATCAATTGTAAAACATTGGAATATCTTAGACAATGGGGTTTTTTTTTCAGTTTGCTGGGTTTGTGCTTACCCACAACATGTACACATACAAAGAATCTACTGCCCAGAAAGTCTACCACACGATACTCTTGAAAATGTATTATTGCTCATTTTCATCAGACTCTGAGATTTTTTTAGAATTCAGCTTTCATTGATGGTATCATTAAGTGTCAATCAATAGTGTTTTTGAACAGGCAGACTGCTACTTAGAATTAACAAAGGGCAGAAGATAAAAATAGATTTCTCAGTAATTCAGAATAAATTAGTTGTTGGCATTCAGATCTGAGCAGCGACAGTCAGCGACGTGTTGCAGTGACTCAAAATTCAGTGATGACAAGAACCAGCATGGTGGGCGGGAAGAGCCATCCCACTGGCACCCTGTTGTCTCTATCCAGCCCCTGTGGCCCTGAAGCTTCACTTTACCAGCATCTATGTGCACACAGAGCATTAACCCTCTGTGAACTGGCCTGCATGGACCAACTGGGAAGCAACACTGAGACCATTTGCCTTTTAGAACTTCCTCTGTCAAAGAAACTCATTATCTGTGCTTTTCTTGTGTTGACCCCAGCACCTTAGATATAGCATAAATGTGTTTCTGGGTGTTGACACAATCACCTTTTTTATTTCTTGGGAAGTGAAAATAGTCAGTTTTCACTTTCTCAAGTGAAAAATGTTGCAGTAAATCCAAGGTCAAAGCAGACTATGCATAGCTCTGCAAATCTGAACACCTATGTCTGAACTCACTGAGCAGAAAGTCAGTACTGTAAGGGGAACTAAGAAAGCATTTTTAGGGAGCAATCATCTAATGCAGGTTAGATGGAACATATGGAGAGGTCCCTCTTTGGTGATTATAAAGGGATCTACAGTTATTAGCATGCACAGGACATCTCCATTCTGGATGTCAACAATTATGTGAGATGAATCCCACTCAAAGGTAGGTGGGATCATGCTCAGTATTAATAATAAGCTTCAAATCCTACCAGAATAGCAGAGGTTTGCTTCTGCAGTCATTTGCTTAACACCAAAACTCCTACTTCTATTTCAATGATGGGATTCATACTCTTAAACCCTTTCTTCAAAAATACCTTTATAAATTAAGCTTTTGGAGGTGTGTGCTAACAAAGAAGTTGTTCCACTGCAACACAGTAAGGACTTGTAAGCTAGTTGCCATCCTAATTTCATCAAATGTCTCAAATTTCCAGTCCCAAGATTGCTTTACTAGGTACTTTTGTGCAGAGAGTGCATAAATGCCACATCAGGTGGTGCTCCCTGGTGACCCCATTACTTCAAACAAGGATTAAAAACATTTTCAATGTTCATGCAGGAGCATGGGGTCAGAAAAGTCATCTAATTGAACAACATATTGGAGTGCAGGATGTAGAAAGAGATCTGAGCTATATTGGGCTTCCACAGATGTCAAGACAGACTGAGTAGTAGTGGCCTTATGTGGGATGCAACACCTCTTCAGTTAAGAAGGTAGAGTTAGGCACTGGAACACTGTAATTTTAAAGGTTTAGAATGGGAGCTGCAACAGCTTTTTTTCTTACGTTGATATCTTTCAATACAGCCTGTGTGATTTCAGCTACATTGTTCAGCATTGGAGTTTAGTGTCCTTTGTTCCTCTCTTTTGGAGCAGAAATGCAGATTGCCAGATTTCAAGCAGCAATTTGCTGATTACTTTTCCAGACCTCTACCTCTTCAAGCCAACGCCTCTTTTCCACATTTTCTTTTCTAGGAACACCACTTTCTAATTAGGGGGAAATCATGAAAGAGATTGACAAACTGTTTCTAAAAATGCTATAAAATATGATACTTATCAGAGGTTTCATCTTGAAAAGTTAGTGCACAATGAAGCTTCCATTGGCTTTGATTTAGCTGAGCTGCTAATGGATGCTCTATACTGCAGTTTATCACCTTGTTCTTTGTGTTTTCTTTTCGTGACCATAATAGCAAATTCACCCTCTTTGTTATGACAAGGTCTACTAATGCAGTACAGTGGGTTCCTACTTTGAAATTGCAGGTTGCTTCTGGGATTGTCAAACCAGACAATCAGCTGATATAAATTATCATAGCTTCAGCAGCTGTGAGTGGTCTGTGTGCTGTCACCCCAGAAATGCACCACTGGATTCCTACCTCATGCCTTGGCAGGGCGTGTGGCTGTTAGAAAGGGATTGTTAGTTCTGAATTTGAAATGTGTAGGCATTCATCCACACCAGCCCTTATGTGTAGGAGTGCCTCTCTCCTGTGCATCTGTCAGAGCACTTTGCCTATTCTGTAGGGCTCTGCTTTCACTGCTAAAAAAGAACAGAAACATTAAAGAGATAAATTAAATAGATAAACACATTAAATAAAACAGCTAAATCTTCTTCCATTGCTAAACCCAAGTGGAGAAAAGGCAAGGGTGATGAAAGAAGTGAAAATGTATCTTTTGCCTTACAGCAAAATGAGAAAAAAAATCAGCTCGGTTGTGATAATTGGAGTAAATATGATGTCCTGTTGTGACAAGTCAAAGATTTGGGAATTACAGTCTTTATCCCATTAAAAAAGAAAAAAAAAAGGTTTTATTAAAGCAATACTATGTCCCATTAAAAAAGAAAAAGAAAAAAGGTTTTATTAAAGCAATACTATTGTATGTGGTCATTTACTATGCTTTTGCCTATCTGTCTGTAGATTTGTGGTTAACTGTTAGTAATATCAAAAATATAAATAATTAAAAATTGATATTAGCAGATAATGAATATAAAATTTTTGTTTTGAGTGAAAAATATTTATTACCTTTTTAATGAAGTCCTATAGGTTCTTTTAATCT